AAAAGTGCGTATTATTAAGATTCAAGATTTCTATGAAATATGTACGATATCGACGTGATATGGAGAAATTAGAAAAGTTTTCTGCAAATTCAATGAAAGTATACGTGGAGAAGTGAAAGGAAGAAATTATTCTTTCTTAGGAAATGGCCTTTTCCCCAGTATTTCTTCGCACAAGATCACAAGCTTCGGGGGGAAATCTGCGCTGCTGCCCAATTGGAAAGTAGCCGGGCCTGGTCGCCTGTTTGATGGGAAATAAACTGATTCATCTATCTTCTTTCGTGCCGATAACCAGACGCTTGACCTTCAAGCCTGATATGATCCCGCGCATCATCCAAGGCCCCTCTCCAACTTGCCGGAGGGCCGTTCGTAGAAGGATGAACTGTCAACCATGTTCAAATCTTCTGTCTGTCGAGGTTATGCGGGTTTCCGAGACTGTCGAAGATAAAGATCAGGTACTTCGGAAGGACAAAGCCAACGCAAAGTGGCTGCAAGAGGCTGAATCAGACGGAGTCTATGCTAACACAGCATCCGAAAACAGTCTCAAACGAACCCGGTATATCCCTCATGGCGGCTGCAAAACACAAGACCTACACTGACACTCTTCAGACCCAGTCCCATCCACATCCCACCTTGACAGCACAGTGCCCGCACCGTCACGTGGCCCAGCATCGCCTCGCTTGCTCAACGTTGACGGATGGACGTGCCACTGTGCAAATGAGACAACTGAACGTAGCCGGGGTTTACGGTTTAGGGTTCCACATATTCGGAAGAAGCCGCTAGTGAAGTTCATGAGGGGGAATGAACACGTCATTGCAGTACAGCTGCAGCTGCGGTAGCCGAGCAGTGGAGGTGGCGGTGTGATGGCATGGCGAACCAGCAGTACGACTACTAGCAGCAGTCGCCGACAGAAGAGTAGAAGTAGCAGTGGTGGCCGCAGGCAGTGATTGTCGAAGGAGGAGTGGACGCTACAAACAGTGGCAATTAGTGGAAGCTGCAGGTGCCAAGATTGCTGGAAAAGCAGCCTTCATTTCGAAACGCCTGCCCCAAAACAAGTCACAAGTCTTGAGCGCCGGGAAAGGGACCCAAAGATATGGGAAGAAAAACTAAAACAAGAAACATGCGAGTGATCGCGACATGAAACGCAGCTCCTCTCCGAAGAGAACTTCAAAAGGACGAGGCTCAGGCATGAACGGAAAACATGGTGTCTTCACTAATTACAACCAGAAAAGGGTTTAGGACAAGCCTACAAGCAATGACAACCTTCGAAACCCTCTCTCTCACTATTGGCGGAGACACGAGATTCTCTGCTCTCCTCGAAGCGAACGTCGTCTTTGGATCTGGAAAAACTGACGCCAAAGCTGCTTTGTCCCTGCTCTCGCCGGTCAATCTTCAGCACCTGCTTACAACAAAAAGACTCAGTCTTGCATGCCTTTGGCATGTTCTCGTGATGATTGCGGTGACGGAGCCGCGGTCCAGCACAAGTTGCCCACCTACGGTGCTGCGCAAGGCTTGGGATCAAAATGCCAGGGTGATCCACCCACATGCCAATTCAGATACTCTATGGCTTCCTTCAACCCTTCCTTGGAAAGCCTCAAGGAGGAAGTCTGGTGCCGACTGTTTTGACACCAAGTCTGCTGCACAACACCCACGAGCATTTCGCGGAGTCAGCTGTGCTCCTGCAGCTATCAGAGCTGCAGCAAATTCGTAGTTCCCAGTCACCAACGCCATCATCAAAGGCGTTCCGCCTCTCGCATGATAGAGGAATTTGCTTGCTGCTGTAACCTTGTAGAACCTGTGCTGCCAAAGCACTACTGTATACATTGTTCGCATGAGCAGTGTGCGTTTGGCTGGCTCATCTGCCGTCTGAGCATTCACGTCTGCCCTCATTGCAACCAAGCGCTGTACCACTTCAGCACCTCCCCAACTGATGGCTGCAAGATGAAGAGCTGGCGTTGGATCAACCTTATCTGTAGCACCCAGAATCCTCACCTGTCTGAGCAGCTCCTCCATGGCTTCGAGCCCGAGTCCCCAACTGGCAGCGGTTTCGATGCAAGTGTGACCCAGTGCATTTTTCTGCAGCGGGCTGCACCCGGCCTCGCAAAGAATCTGCACCGCTTCTGCGTTGTTCACAGCAGCTGCAGAGTTCAGAGGGTAATGAATGGGGCCGCGGCTGTCGAAGCTAGCTCTCACGGAGAGCAGCAATTTGACCACTTCATTCTTTTTGAAGTAGCAGGATATGGAAAGAGGCGGAGTTCCAGCTTCAAAACCAAGGTTTGGATGGGCCTTCTTAGTGTCTTGGTTCGGATCTGCCTCAAGTGCCAGCAAGTCCTGAACCAGCGATGGGTCCCCAACCAGGGCAGCATAATGAATGGGGAACCATCCACACGCGTCCTTCGCCATGATGGTTGCAAACCCATTTCGGCGCAAGAACCCTCTGGTATTGCTCAGAGCCGGTCCATGATCGTTGTCCGAGCTCTCGATTTCAAGGATCGGCTCGAAGTCAGAGCCCATTCCACTCAGTATCGTGGTTTGTTGGTTCAGCAATGCACGATAGCCCGCGACATCTCGGGATTTCAGCAGCCTGATCAACTTGCGCTTCAGCACGGTCATCAGAACTGGTCTCAGCTTGAGGCAATCCTCCGGCACAGTGAAGGCTCCTGCGCCCACCGGCCCGGACCCAGCACGGGCAGATGCCAATGCATCCGATACAAACCTTACTACACCACTAAGCCACAAAAACAAAAGGGTTAAACTTTCCGATTCCTACTAATCTATAAGAAGCCCAAAACTTAAAAGGGTTAGGTATTGGGGATCTAAGAAACTGTAGGTCCCTTGGGCTCTTCACCATGATCCAGGAGGGATCGTCTTCTCCAATCGACACCAACCTGAAAGTCTCTCGAAGCCGCGAGGTGGGGCCTTGGGGGTCCCTTTTGCAATCCTTACTGGGCCTTCACAGAACCCGAACACAAGAACCCCTGTAGAACTTTTACAGATAATCCCTCATGAATTGCAGGAGCCCCTTTTCTTCCTCCCTGCAGAACCCCAGGGCCCAGGTTTGGGAGCTCTTGGGTTGCTGCAGATTGCATACTATATATATGGGGTTGATTGAGGGTTGTAGAGTTCAGGCCTTTAAGGAGGTTTAAGGTGTGGGGTTCTATGGCTTCTAGGGCTTAGGGAGGAACCATGCACATTTTGCAAACACAGAAGCGGATGGGCGATAAGATAAGAAACATCTAACCTGAGTCAAAGTAGCCAACCCATGTTCAACAGAGACAGTGCACCGGATCCTTGCAGGGAGCTTTATAAGTCTATAGCACGATAGACCCTACAGCAACAGTCTTCTGAGAGCCCACCTCGTCCTTGCCAGGTCAAAGGTGACAGCAAGGCCATTGAGCTGGGAGTCTCCAACACGGGCACCAGTGCGAAGAAGAAGGAGCACTCGTCTACATAGGCTGGTATGCTGTTGATAGCATCAAGCTGTTGGCATGAGTGCTCCGCTTTTTGCGGGATCGAGAAATAATCGTACCAAAAGAAGAGTGGTTCCGAGAAGAACCTGGCAGTTGGAAATGGCTTGATATGCGGATTGTTGATTTCCGAAACTATGTCCGGGGAGATGCTCTTCATCTTCGGGTCATCTTTGGCTGCCTTGAGAGCCTCTTGAAAGATCCGCATCTGCTTGGCCTCTGGGTCTGGGTGGGCTGTGCCAACCCATTGGTGCGAGATAAATCCTATTTTGCCCATGGACTCATGGTACTCAACCAGCACACCTCTGGCCTTCAGTTCTTCATGAGGCTCGATCTTCGTCATGTCCAGCAATGTCTCCAGTGGCACTGTGTACATGGGGAAGAGCGTGGGCACCTCGTCTTCTGGCTGGCCCCTCAATGCTTCGGCATACTTGGCCAAGGCCGTCAGGGGTGTAAACTTGGGGCTGCAACATGCCATGGCTCGGAATCGAAGGGATCACGTCCTGCAGCAGAAACCTCCTACTGTGGACGTCCGATATACTGGCATACATACCATAACAGAAGAGAAAGAGTGTGCAGTTCCTCAGGGAGAAGTCCTGCTGGTGCCAGAACGCTCGAAACACTCTACACTACAACTGCTCGTGCCTCAGCCTTGCAGCCAGACCGGGAAGACGTCGGGATTCTGCCTGTGTACGTCGCGCCTGACAGACTTGCGCAGAATAGTCCGAGTCCAAGCCACTCCGGCTGGTCTGCAGCCTGCGCAGCACTTGCAGTGCGCAACAAGGCTGCCCGCAGCGGGGCTGGCGGCCGCCAAGATGGCAGGCTCGCCGCCAACACAGCGAGCCTCGGTAAGGCGAGCTACGCACCAGGCCGATGTCGACCCCGAGTCTAACCTAACATTGCACTCTGAGTGGTCTGCATGGACAAGGTGGCGAAGCTGACGCGCTCTGGGCGCTGTTTCCAAAGACGCACCGAGTCCATCATAGCCTTGGACGTGTTCCACTGAGGCACAACTGGACGATTCTGGAGAGGATGAGGCACCAGCTAGCAGGAGGCAGCGAAGGGCCGCTGCGAGTGCTTCTCTGGAGTCCAAGATGGCCTGAAGAGCCTCGACACCATGCTGTTTGGGGAGAGGGCGTGGACAGAGTTCACTCAGGGGGAAGAGAGGGGGGGATTGCCTTGCAAGGACCCAACCCTAGGCCCTACTCAGAAGATGCCCGGAATCCATCTACCCAGATTCTGCGAACTCCCTGAGCATGCGAGAAGGGTCCAAACTCCGGGTGTCCAGGCAGTGATTTCTCTCGGAATGCAAATTCAAGAGCTTTTGCGATACTATCCTCAATGCCCAAGCCTGACACCAGCACCCTGAAAGCTCAAATCGCCCGTCTTGCGACACATGTCCGGGCCAGTCGCTCAAAACCTCACGCTCATAGTCCGAGTTTGTCGGGCGGGAGCCAGATGTGCCGCCCAGCGCTGATTATTCATCATTGATCATACATTATATGTATTGACAATGAGTAGTATTATCTTTTTCCTTCACATTATGACAGATTTCAACCTCTGATATCAAATTCGCAACCTTGTGACCCAAAAATGAAACCACTGTGCTAAAAACGCGAAGTGGAATTTGGGATTGCTTCTCCAGCCGACTTCAAATTCGTGATCTCGAGGCCCGATACCAAGCAGTCCCCCAAACCGGGGCTACTCGTGGAAATGGTTTAGTGATTTGCCAGTAACACAGGGTGTCGCTTTCCCAACCCGATGCTTCTTTAGAGTGGCACCGATGCCCCCTTCCTAGACGACCAGGAACTGCTCGATGTTGCACCTGGACTTTTGAAGCCCTTAAACCCCAAATCGACATAACCGGGACCGGAACCCGTGAAGCCCTAAACCCTTGAACACGCACACTCTCGAATACGCCTTAAACCCGTAAGAAACCGTCTGTAGGTTTCCAAGGTTTCTTTCTAGGCCACAAGGGAACTTTCCGGCTTCAATCTGGCCGCAGCTACAGATTCGCGTTTTCCTAAACAGGGTTTGCTCCTAAACCGAAAGGGGAAAGGGAAACCGAAGGGTTAGGGTGCAAAGCCAAAGTTTTTTTCGCATGTGTTCTTCTTCGCCAAAAGCGCGAAGGAACCCAAAGGGTTAGGGTTTAGGATTCTTTCTTTCCGACAGCAGCTCGCTTGGCAAGCAGGCTAGCACAGCTGCTTCCTGTCGTTGGTAGTTCTTTCTTCAGCAGTCTTGTCCATGAAAACTGCTGGGGCTGGGGCAATAGGGCCGAGAAGTAGCAGATCATAGCAGATCCAAAGTCGAGCCGATGCAGAAACAATAGGAGGCTCTTGCTGCACTCGGCCAAAAGGTGTGTTCGCCTCGTTCTCGTACGGGCTGAGCATTGTCAAGCTGACAAACTCCCACTTTGCCGGGCTTGAACATGCATGAGCATGCAGCAGCTTACTTGCAAAACCTTGAGCCTGGAGCCTCCATGATCTCCTCCATCCGGTTGAGGGCCCCGCAGGCCACGCGTGATGTGTGTGTGCTCCGAACCTGTCTCTACTGCTCGACCGCTGCCAGCACCCCTCTCACAGCTCCAACCCAGTCGCAGACCCGGGCGGCGGAAGGTGGGCCGCAGCAGCCCACAGCTTGGCAAAGCAACCGTTGCCCTTACCCTGACAGTGGGAACGAAGCCCAGTTGCATTCTTGGCCGAGCGTTGGTCCTCTGACCGGCTTCAGAGTTTGTGAGGATTCCTGCGAATACTTGACGGTGCCCGTGACACTGATACCCATCGTCTCGCTGATCTCGGAATAGTCTTTCTGAGTGTAGCCCACGGCTACGCTGTCAGATTTCATTTCGGACACCCCCTTGGCCACTTCCTTGGAAATTCTTTTCTTGAAGGAGGTGCAAAGGATCAAGTAGTAGTAGGGACTCCTCGCCATCTGCACCTCCTTGGTGCTAAAGCCCTTGTCGTTGACCAACAAGGCACTAATACAGTCAATTGCCCGCACCATCTTTTGAGTTTCCTGGTGGTTTCGCACCTCCTCCTTCGTCGTAGGTTCGGGAATCATGTACTCGATGCCGACACTTGGAACTTGGCAGTGGTTTACGTGTGGCTTCGCCAACAAGCTCCGGAAATGATCAGGATCTGTCGTGACGTCATTCCACTCAGGCGATGCCCACAATTCCCACTCTTGGGAAGAGTCGCCAGGGTGTTCATCCCACGTCCCAACACCAGCATCGCGGAAGGCTCCGAGCGCGTTGCGGTCACCGAGCGAATCCATCGCAGACTTGATCCTGAAGCGAGGACCTGCCTGCACAGGATGCGGGTTGGGAAACTGGCCTAGCTGGAGATTGTGGATGTCCTCAAAGATGAACTTCTGATCGGATATGTTCCAGCACGATCGGATCCGAGCATTGCCTTTGGAATTCACCGATTCAATATTGAGGCATCGATCCGGCCAACCCCTGGGCGAGAATGTAAAGTAACCATCTTCCGCAGGCCATATCATTGCTGCCACTCCTCTCACTCTCATCCTCCTTTTGGTCCTGGAGATAGACATTTCCACCAGCCTGCACGGTCAACAAATGGCTACCCCCTCGCGGTGGGGGGGTGTGGGGGAGCGAGAGGGGGGTCGGAAATAGGTACCGGTACCTATTACGACGGTGGCTTGAGGTAGGGGGGGGGTCCGGGTGTACTCGGAGGACTCTTCCCACATGGATAAGACTAGTCACGACCGGTTGGATTTGCGACATCAGAGAAACAAGTCGCAGCTCCGCATCGGGAGCGAGTATTTATTTTGTTTATTTTTCTGGTTTTTTTTGTACATTTTCCTGGTTTTAGTTCTGTTTTCCTTGGTTTTCGGAATCTAGCCTGGTGGCCGTGACCGTTCTCCACCTCTGACTGGAGTTCTTTTTTGTGTAATTTTCTGGTTTTTTTTGTATATTTTCCTGGTTTTAGTTTTGCCTTCTTTGGTTTTCAGAATCTAGCCTGGTGGCCGTGACCGTTCTCCGCCTCTGACTGGAATTCTTCCTTGCGTATGTTTTCTGGATTTTTGTGGATTTTTCGGTTTCAAAGCTTCCCAAACTTCTTCGCTCGTCTCGCGGCAGCTGCTGGACTGTCAGAAGCTCCTGCCACAATGCTGCCGTGTGTCTCTCACACTTCATTTTTGCCCCGCGCGCTTATGGTTGCATTCCTTTTGCTGTTATTTGCTACTGGTGTTGCTACTGCTCTTGGTGTTCATGTTGTTGTTGCTGCTGGGTGGAGTCTTTTTCTTCAAGGTTTGGCGGCCAGCTTATTTTTGAAAGGTTTGGCGGGATATGGGTTCGTTTGTGCGTCAAGTTATTGGGGGATTCTAGTTTTCAGGGTTTGTTTGTGCGTCAAGCTGTCGGGGGAGTGTAGTTTGTTCGGGGTTTGCTTGTGCGTCAAGCTATTGGGAGATTCCAGTGTTCGGGGCTTGTTCCTGCGTCAGGCTCTTGGGGAATTCCGGCTCGCGGCCTCCCCCATTAGCAAGCATGATGCTCGCATGGTTGGTCAAAAAACGCGTATGTGCTGTCAAGCAAGCATGCCACTCTCGCACGCCCGGCGCATGCTTCCCAATTGCAAACACACTTTTCACAAGGTGAAGGGTGTTGTTTCTAATTGAAAGATTCATCCTAGGATATCCTAGGCATCGCGGGCTTCAAAAACGACTCCTATGCTGTCATGCAATCACAGCTTATAGCAGCGGGGGGGGGTTGGGGGCGGCGCAACCCCTTCCAGTTGCAATCACGATCCTCGTATGGCTGGTTTACCACAAATCACATGCGGCCGGGGGGGTTTGAGGGCGGCAATCAAGATGCTCGCATGTGTTGGTTTTAAACAAAAATATATGCTGTCAAGCAAAGCTGCGGTCACGCAAGCTTGCACATGGTTTAAAGCAGTGGGGGGGTTTGGGGGGGCGCAGCCCCCCCGATTTGCAAGCATGATGCTCGGGTGGTTGGTTAAAACATGCGTATGTGCTGTCACGACTCCTATGCTGTCATGCAACCTGGCACACGGCTTACACAGCGGGGGGGTTGTGGGGGGCACAGCCCCCCCATTTGCAATCACGATGCTCGCATGTCTGGTTTACAACAAAATCTATGCGGCGGGGCGGTTTAAGGGGGGCAGCTCATGAGGATGCTCGCATGGTGGGGTTTTCAACAAAACGCATATATGCTGTCAAGCAAGCTCGGCACTCTCGCACGCCCGGGCCAGGCTTTCCATTTGCAAAGAGACTCTTTGCATGGTGAACGGCATTGTTTCAAAAAGACTTATATTTTATGCAGGGTGGGTTTCAAAAACGACGTCTATGCTGTCAAGCAAGCTTGCACACAGCTCAAAACAGCGGGGTCTCTGGTCTTTGCTTCTTGCTGTCTAATTATTCTGCTTTATTCTGCTTTCGTTCTTGGGTTTTTTCTTTGCTCCGTTCTTTCTAACACTCCTTCTGGTCGTCCTTGCTGGCTTTCTGTCTTTCGATATTCATTTCTTCTGTTCTGTCTCTCTGTCTTTCTGCCTTCTTATTTCCTTGCTTCTGTCTGTCCTTCTGTCCTTCCTTCCTTTCTTTTTTTCTCCCCATTCTGGTGTGTTGCTTTCTTGCTTTCTTCCTTTGTTCCCGTCTTCGTTCTTTCTTTCTTTCTTTCTTTCTTTCTTTCTTTCTTTCTTTCTTTCTGTCGTCCTTCTTTCCTTCCTTCCTGTCTTTCTGTCCTTCGTCCTTTCTTTCTCTTCCTTTCTTGCTTTCTTTGTTTGTTTCTTTGCTCCTTCCTTTCTTTCCGGCTTTCGTTTCTCTCCTTCTTTCTTTCGTTTGCGTTCAACCTAAAACCAGAAAAATAGACAGAAAAAACCAAAAAACTTGACAAAAAAAATACGGTGCCCTCCGCATCGCACAACCTGCCATGATGCACTGTCCCAGTAGCCCCCGGTACCTATTTTTATCGGGACCCCCTCACTCTCCCAAAATAGACCCCGGAAATAGGTACCACTCAGAGTAACCCCCCCCCCAACAGTACCTTTACGAGGGGGTGGCCATGTCAACAAACCAACGACATCCGGCCACCTCCTGCTTCTGATTCGCCAGTGCGTGCTGTACTGGCCCTAGAACCTGTGACAATTGGCAGCTGTGGCGTGTAATGCAAACACCAAACGCAATCCAAGCCGGGCAGCTGGCCTAGAGTTCCAAAAACTGCCGTCGCTCCTGAAAAATCACACACAGGCATGGCACTCCCCGCTCAAGACCGCACTTTAACACGAACAAACCCTCATCTAGCGCCTCTTGCAGAAGCTCGTGCATGATCGGGACCCCGCACGCAGTGTACACGCTTGCGGTGGGGCCTCCGGCTTTCACGTCTCGGCTACCGATCTGCCTTCCTGTCTATTGGGTCACTGGCCCGGGCGCGGGAAGGCTGCCAGCCAGCGCAGGCAACCAACCTGCAAACGTTTGCAAGTCTTTGAGTCTTCCGGCAAGCATGTCTTACGTCAAATTCCTGGCCTCAAATCTGCCCCACTCCGCTGCAACGCGATTCTTGTGCAGCTCGCACGCCTCCAAGTCCGTCAGCGAGGCCTCGAAAGGTAGGATCCAAGCATTGCACCACTACGGCCTCGATGCGTGGCCTTCGTCAGCTTCTCATCCTGGCTCGAAGCTTTTGACACTTTTTCGGTACATAACCTGCAACCCTAAACCTACAGACCCTAAACTGCGGCCTCCATCTTTTCTTGCTGCATCCTCATAACCACGCTCCTTGGAGGCCAGACCTCCAAAGTACGGCCACCCAACTTCGGGCTTCGGGGTTTAAGGTTTAGGGTTTTGAGTTTTTGGGTTTAGGTTTAGGGTTCAGGGTATCCCAAGTCAACGCACCCCGAATCCTCAACCAGAAACGAAGTCGCAAGATGCCTGACATGCATGTCCTGAATTGGCACAGCTCACATCAGCCAGATTTCATTGCATAACGCTCAAGTTCAAGGGTTTATCGGGCTTGCATGACGCAACTCCGGTGCACCTTCTTCGCATGAGTTGCGCTGCCCTCACCAGGATGTTTCCTAGGCTCGGCGCGTCCAGCGGCAAGTCTACATGAGCTTTGCATCTAAACTCCTTAAGGGATGTTATGCAAGGGATTAAGAAGACAAGTTCCGACTATAGGGCTTATCGAGGGGATATGAAGTTAGCATGCGAGCGGCCGGAAGAGAGCGTACATCCACGGCTCCGTATCAAGGCTCGCCGCCTGATTGGGGCTTGAAGTCTCCAGTCGCACAATGTGACGCCAAGTGACAGTCCGTGCTCCACAGGGTCGCAAGATGCTTCACATAACCAGGCCTCCCCTGGGAAGGACGCAATCGTAGGCATCGCAGCCTTGCGGCAGGAAGAACTTCTGCACCGGCGTTTCCGACTATATCGCGGTGGTGGTGGTGGTGGTGGGTGGTGGTGGTGGTGGTGGTGGTGGTAGCAGAAGTAGTCGTAGTCGGAGGAGGAGGGGGAGGAGGACGACGACGAGGAGCCGCGGTAGGGGTAGCAGCAGCGTCAGGTGGTTCTGTTTTTGGTGTTGTCACTGTTACTGCTGTAGTGCGACTGCAAAAACGGCAAACCCATGCAGAAAAATCGAAGTAATGAGAACGGCTTTCTGTCGAGGTTCATGATTCAACGATGACTCTGCCTAAAGAGCCACAACATACAAGTGAATGTCACGGTTGTCGTTGTTCTTGGAATGATGCAAGCTAGCAGGAAGCAGGCTAGCAGGAAGCAGGTCCAAAAAGTGCAACAGGGGTCAATCGCAATTTACAGAGTCAGATTTTGCGGCGAACTACCCAGCATTTCGGCAGAAATAGCAGTCGTAGTAAGTGCCGTTGGAGTGGTACCAGCAGCCAGTAGTGACAGCAGAGCAGAAAGAACATTCAGAGTGGCAGAAGCAAGAGCACTAGGAGTGTTAAGAATGGCGCCAGGTGCAAGGCTTTTTGATGCTTTTGGAGCATGTAGTAAAGCTAGAATGTGTAGCGACAGCACCTGGCCCTGTGTTTCGAATCCCATTGCTGCTCTGCAGTCCTTCACGAAGCCCTGCAGTGGCAGGGAGCATGCGTGAGACCAGCAATGAGCAGAAGCCAGCTTTGCATGCTCAAGTCCTTGACGGCCTTCGCCGAGGCTGCCGGTTGAAGCTCCATGGGCAGATACTTGGCCTTCACGGTGCAGCCATCGACAGCAACAACAGTTTGAAGACTTGTTCGCAATGGCTATGTTTCATTACGTCAACTACTGGGGCTTTTGAGACAATGACCGGCCATACATTCAAGGCAAAGCCTCACAACACTTGCCTTTACGGACAGATCACTATGAGGGACCAAACCAGATCTTGGCAGTAACCTGCTGCGTTGTGTGTACAGTGTACAAACCACTGTGATCTCAAAGAGTGGAAGCCTAGGCCTAGAGGCTTCGACTCTTGCTGTAATCGACCCCTCATTCAGCACGACTTTGTCTAAATAACAGCACTTACACAGATCCTTCTCCGCAACCTGAATTTGCAGGTTTCAAGCATGCAAAGCCGAAGTTCCACTCTATGAGCCTCTAAGCTGGAAGAGTTCTCTTCCTGGCCGGATTGGGACTGCGCGAACCCAAGGAACTCGTCGAATGACAACCTCACTTCCAGGCGGAGCATGCCGTCCGAGCATACATCTACAGACATGCAGCACGCAGGGCATAAGCACTCTGCGGAGTCGTCGAGCCAGCATCCGTTGCCTGTGGAACAGGTATGCTGTGTTAAGGCGGCATCGACTGCTAGGGAATAGGCTATGGTCCGTGCCTCGGAAGTAAATTAGGTTCGGGGTCAAGCAAGGTGCTAAGGCAGGCAAAACAAGTCGCACTGGAAGAAATGAAGCCACGAGGCAAGCCGATGAAACCGAGAAGCCAAGAAGCCGGGGCAACCCAAAGCGAACACCCGACCCCGAGCGGAGTGTCTCTACATGCTTGAAACCTGAAAAGAAACAAGCACTCGGTTCGGACAGCGATGCCGTGGTTCGTGGAGCTTTGCGGGAGCAACAAAGAAAGGTAAAACACCCGCGTTTGCTTCTCTAGCCGACCACATGGTGCACCTAAGTTATGCTCCAGCTGCCGTTGGCATATTCACTGTGCGGGGGGCCTGCGTGGTGACGTAGACAACATTCGTCCGGTGGCTTGCTTTTGAAGCCAACAGCATGCTAACTCGTAGTGAAGCGAGGCTGTTGGCTTGGTTTGTACATCATGCGACTTCACCTCTGCACCTTCACACCGACAAACAAGCTCTTGAACCCCAACGTGAAGTGCCCGCTTCATTTCTGGCATGAATATAGTCCTGATTTTATAAAAAAGGGGTTCTATTTTGATCCCTAGTATGTCTGCTATGACTAGTATAACCATTGTGAGCACTGTCGCTGTTACTACAATATGCCTCGTATCATGATTCCAAAAAACAAATCCTGAAACCCTATGCCCTAAAAACCCTAAATCCTACACTAAACCATCGGTCGCGCCAGGCCTTCTCTGGGCTGGATGCAGTCGTCGGCGTCCCAGCCTTGCAGCATAAAGAACTTTTACACCGGTCTTCCCTATCGTAGTGGTAGTGGTAGTAGTAGTAGTAGTAGTAGTAGTAGTAGTAGTAGCAGTAGTAGTAGTAGTAGTAGTAGCAGCAGCAGGCGGAGCAGGACGACGAGGAAGAGGAGCGGCAACGGCAACAGCGCCGGCAGCTGATGTTGCCAGTGTTAGTGCTGTAGCAGTATGTAGCCCTGGCAGCCGCAAACAAGGGAAATCCAAGCAAACAAAACTGAGGCAATGAGAACGGCTCTCTCTCGACCGATCAAAGACTGTTCATACATGGGAGTTTCCGAAATTAGGGGTACCATATTCTGGGATCCTTATAATAAGGATCCTACTATTTAGGGTACTATATTAGGGTCCCCTATTTTCGGAAACTCCCACATCAGCAATGGCTCTGCCTAAAGAGCCGCAGCACCTCTTTGAATGTCACGGTCACGGTTGTCTTTGTTCTCCTAAAGGTTCGAACTTGTGCAGCACGGGTGATTCGCAACTTGCAGGGTCACGTTTTGCGGCCAACCCTTGCTAGTTGCAGAATGGGTCTCTGTTTTGCATGCAGGCTCTTAGATAATCTCTTGCAGAAGTAGTAGCCGTTGTAGGTGCCGAAGGAGTAGCACCAGTAGTCACAGTGGAGCAGCAAGAACATTCAGAGTAGAAGAAGCAATAGTACTAGGAGTGTTAAGAAAAGTGCAAGTTGTAAGACAGTTTAGATGTAGCAAACCTTCAAAGTATAGCAACAGCAACTGGTCCCCTTTGTTGATACATGCCATTGCGGCTATGCAGTCCCTCACGAAATCTTGCAGTGGCAGGGAGCAAGGGGTTAGAAGGCCAAAGTAATGACAAGAATGCACGTCTCCGCTCGTAATGATACGAAGAATCGAACATCTTGAGTTGCAACTCTACCATCATGTCGACATCTACGCTACGAGCGTATTATGGCGAAAGGTTCAGTCCGCGAGATACGCGAGGCCCCATCGGAGCTGGAATGGAGCTACAAGAACAAATGAACAGCTGCTCGAAATGGAGCTGTCACGGAGCTGTAACGGCCGCTGTGACATCGTTCGAACCTGTAACGGAAAGCTGCGACGTGCCCGTAACGGAGCCAAAACGGAGCTGTACCGGAGCGTTCACGTAGTCGTAGCTGCAGGTGCAACGATGCTGTAACGAAGCTATAGCCGAGCTGTAAGGGCTCCCCAGAAAGCGGCAGCTCTCAAACGGCTTAGCGCCTCTTCCTGAAAGGCCATGCGAGGATGAGCCAGTTTCGCTACCTGCAGCAATACAACTAGGAAGCAGGCATATGCCAGAGCCGGCACAGCAAGTGTTTGTGCTACAAAAAGCATCCTCACACCCCTTCTCCAAGCATGATGAGGTACCAGTAACACCATCGAGCGGAAGCTAACTTTGCAGACTCAGGTCCGGGACGGCCTTCCTCGCAACGGCTGCCTCCTGAAGTTCCATCGGCTGGTACTCGGCCTTCACAGTGCAGCTATCAACGGCAACAACAGCTATACTTCGTTCGCGATGTCGGTGGTTCAAATGAGACGTGTGCCGGTCTCTCACACCCTAAACCCTCAACCATACGCTTCCCCATACTTCAACTGCCCTCCAGAGCAGTATCACGATTTTAAAAGCCGAGACGGGACCACTCCCCTCCGTCAACTACTGGGGGCTGTTTTTGCGACAATGACCGGCCAAACATTCCAAGCAAAGCCTCGCAGCACTTGCCTTTCCGTCCTGCTCATACTAAGGCACCAAGCCAATATGACTTTATCAAAACAGCAATTGATTGTTTCAGCTCTCTCCGCTTTATGAATTTACAGGTTGCGGGCATGAAGAACTCAAGATCTACTGAATCTACTGTCAACACATCACCCGGTTTAGAGCGAAGCAACGGGGGTTTTACAGCCAGCTGACGGACTTCAACGGGCCTCGAAAGGTTTGTCAGGTCTTCTGGACTGCTGGCGTCGGCATTTACATTTATTTGATGCTCCGCACTTCTCCGAGAACTAGAGCACTTTCGACCGAAACCCCAAATCCAGAGCCCTCTGAACCCTTCCTGGCCTGGGAAACCACTCCAGATTGGTCAGAGCCGGCATCCACCTGTTGCGGAATCTGAGGCACAGAGGGCTCGGAAGGTTAAGGTCTCCAGGCCGGCCCAACATCGTTTAAGGTACATTGCTTGTCTGAGGGGTCTGGATTGGGGTCTGGTGGCTTCATGAAACATATCTGATGACAGTGTTCTTACTTCTTGTACGTGCTGCTGCTGTTTCTATCCAGCGGCCGGGCTTCAGGCAACCCCACTCCGCTCCGGAATGCGCTGGGGCAACTTGCTAAAATGGTCTACTTCACGATTCGGGCACATGTACTTGTTTGGGCTTTATGCAGATCAATCTGCTTAGGGCAATCCGGACTCTATTCCGTGATTTAGAACTACCATCACATGGCTTGTAGCAGTGAAGGGCACCGCGTGTCGATTGCCAATTTTCGCGAATCGTTAAATCAAACTGAATCCGTAAAACCAAAAACCCTAGAACACCTGTTGAATTGTTAGAAGCACTGCGGTTGCGATAACCAGATAGCACCAGTACTGATACAGTCACATTTTGCGGGTTCGGTTTAAAAAGAGCGAAGAATCCAGTAATCCTGAAAACTGAATCCATGCAAAGCATCCAAGGTAGATTTCTCGAGGAGCGTGTGCAGCCGAGGGTTTGCGCTACATTTTTGGAATTCAAGGCACTCGAACTGGCTCTGCCGCTAGAACCTGGTAATTAATCCAATGCACTCAAATCATGTAAGCTGGCTTGTAATGTTCCCGCATCTCGACGACATGCCTCCTCCTTCCGCCGGGCCTGTCGAAACGCTTGCTCCTTGAGCTCCGTCTGCGGCTGCGTCATCTTGATGCGCTGGAGCCGGCCTCTCTGCTGCCTGGACCACCAGAAGGACCGCTCCCGATAATGCAGCTGTTGCATCTTCGACAAATAACAGCAGACTGCCAGAAGATACTCAACGCATGCTGCATGTATTTCGTACTGCCGAAACAAACTCTTGCTCAATGGGCCCAAGGAGGCTCACCTGAAAAGAAACAGCACAATCCTGAGATTCCTGTGCCCTCTTGCACACTTAAGCAGAGCTGCAAGAGGGTCGTGGCGCCGGTCACAGCTGGCTCTCGGGCACAGGGAGGGACGCGCCTCACACGCAGGTCATTGCACATGCTGTTCGGCATTTCTCCTCGATGGTTTGTGAGATCACACTTGTCGTGCTCAGCTGCGGACGCTTGGGATGCTGCTGCGGTCATGAAGGTTGCCCTCGGACAGTCTGCAGACTCAAGCTCCGGAGCCTTTCTGGCCCCCCACTACAGCTCACACGCGGGGCTTCCTTACATAGTCAAAAACGCTTCCGAGCCCCCGGCGAGGATCCTGCCGCGATGCATCGAGCCTGAGGTTTAGGGCTTTAGGGTTTAAGGCTCATGTATGGTGTTGGGTTGAAGTCCAGCATTTCGGGTTTGGGATACACTCTAAGATCCCTGGGATGCTTGGGTTCAGGGTGTCCAGTTTGAGTGGGGGAGGGGAGGGCCCAAGCCCTACTTGGAGGTTCATGGGCAGTTATAAGTGGGGTTATAAGTCCCTTATTATGGGCTATAAGTAGAGTTACCCTACTTATAACCCCACTTATAACCAACCATGAACCTCCAAGTAAGCCTCGCAATTGTCAACCCTAAAACTCCGGAGAGGAAGGAATGGCCTGAAAAAGCCAATGCGACAGATCAAAGCGCAGAACGAGGGACCCCTGATAAGGACCCCTAGGTATACCCATAATATGGCCCATATATAGCCCATTCTATGGTAGGGGTCCCCATTAAGGGTCCCTCCTTTTCCCCTTTGAAAAGACATGCCCCTGAACCCTAAACCGATGCCTTCAAAGCTCGGTTTCCGGGTTTAGGCTAAGGGATGGCCCAGAAAGGCGCAGAAGCTGTGGGTCGAGGGCTTGATGTAGGAACCTGATTAAGAAACCTTGGGCCTTTATTAGGGTTCCTTTAAAGCGGTCTATAAGGGTTACCATAAGGGATCTATAAGGGTACTATAATAATGTAGGAACCTGATTAAGAAACCCTGGGCCTTTATTAGGGCTCCTTATATGAATCCTACTATTTTGGGGTTATAGGCCCAGGGTTTCATAATCAGATTCCTACATTATAAGTTTTAGGGCTTCTAGCTTCTAACGTTGAGGGCCTGCCCGGGGCGGAACTGGGATTAAACTCACTTCAAATTCTGCCGAGGACTCCGCATTTCGATACTCCTGCGTGCAGAGGAAGAGGAAACGATGCCAATCTATTGGGTCGGCGCCATCACCTTCGAAATGGCGACAGTCCAGAGGCAAGTAGCGTCAGCCGTCCACCATCGCTTTTCGGGCGCATGATTCTATCAAGTTAGAAGGTTTTTCAACAACATGATGCAAGCATGAACATCCGAAACGCTCAAAAGCGCAAAGAAAGCCCAGAACCAGAAACTAAATCCAAAACAAGCGGAAGTTGTCGGCGCCGGCATTTCCCATATGCGCACCCCCTCGAAGCGTCTGTCGCATTTAGTAGTTTAGGTTTAAGATGTCGGCTAAATTACGGTTCAGGGCCACATTTGTGAATTTTGGATTTCCTTACGCCCCTAACCAAGCTCGGGCCTGACTGATTCTTCAGTCTGGCAACGATGCTGGCCTCCAAGCCAGGCGGAAATGAAGCGTGCTTGGACATTGGATTGGGCAAAGAGTTTGATGCGCTCGCATTATTTTGTTGACGATTGCTGCGAAGAAATCCACGAATCGGGGGCCGCGTTTTGATTAATGCTTTGCGCAGTGCCCCGAGCTGGACATGTCAGCAAATGGCCTTGAGGGACTCAGGGGCGTCCTTGTCGATTCCCTCGCGCACAGCCGCCAGGGCCTGCCCGTGCAAAGCTGAGCTTGTGGCCAAGCCTGCATCTGGACAGCATTCTGGTCCTGTATCTTGCAGAATCCACAGTATAAGCAGCATGAGGTTCGAAGCACCTTGCAACAATGCACCACTTCAGAAACTGTGACGTCCCAAGACCTAGAGCAGGAGATCATGGTTTTACAAACATGAAACATCTTGGAACACCACAGTCTGCAACACAACAAAACCAAGCCTCAAATCCAAGGATACAAACCCCCATAACCCGTAACCCTACACTGCATGTTGGCGGCCTTGTTCAGCGGCAGCTGCGGGCGTGCTCCAGCTCGCAAAGAAATCTTTGACACCTGCACAACACCCCTGACAATCTGTCTGGTAGTAAAGGAAGATGTGCGTGCTGCATGAACTGATACAGAACTGCTTCTGCATGCATGCATACATACATACATACGTACGTACATACATACATACATACATACATATATATATATATATACATATATCTATATACACATATGTGGGGTGTATATACATATGTATATCTATATATATATATATTACAATTAGGATATCCGATCCCGGTTCTCGAATCGCTAGTCCCCCATGGTATCCCACCCGGACGACTGTGACTGTGCGCACTTCCATGGCGGCTCCAAAACCGATAACTGTCACGAAGATCTCGCCCCAAACGCACCCCATCCTTTCTCAAAGGGGAAAAGGATGGACCCTTAATGGGGACCCCTACCATATAATGGGCTATATTATGGGTATATAATAGCTATATTAGGGGTATATACCTAGGGGTCCTTATTAAGGGTCCCTCCTTTCCCCCTTTGACTTTTGACACTGGACAATTGCTAACCACGAATGAGCGCATCAAACATGCAACCGTCACGAGGATCGGGTTCCTAACAAGCCCGGTTCCGGCGAACAGGATGATGATGTTCATGATCACTATGATGATAATGATGATGCCAAACACCTGAGGGGACCCAAACTGTGAACCACACCACACTTCCGGGGGGAGGGGAGCCACTGCAAACACATCCGAACCCGAACCAAGAACCGCATGGGAAAACCACACCACAGGGAGGTGGGCCGGCTGCACCGGTGGGTATACATATATATATATATATATATACATACATACATGCATGCATGCATGCATACATACATACATACATACATACATACATACATGTACAAGTATATATATATATATATATATATATATATATATATATATATACATATATGCATATATACATGTGTACATATATATATATATATATATATATATATACGTAAATATATATATATATATATATATATATATGTATGTATGTATGGTATATGACAATACATGTATAGATGTATGGGAATATGTATGTGCACATGGTACCCCGGACCCACGTCTTGACATAATTACCAATACCATAGGCCTAAACTTGTTGTGGTTGCTCCTGGTCCTATTTCTGTACACATATATATATATATATATATACATATATATATATATACACAAATATACATATATATATATATACATATATATATATATAGCGAGAGAGATATATACACACACACAGCCTAGCCCCCCGATCCTTCCGCTTGGCCACCGCATCGTGCGCACTTAATGTTTTCTGCTTTGCTGCACATCATTTGAAACTGCACCTGCCGTCAATTCGGTCACTTGCAAGCTTGCGAAAACTCCGCATAAGGGGTTTAGGAGTGAGAGTTTAGAAGCAGCAGGAGTCGTTTCGACTCACAGGCAAGAGATCCGCAAGCCCGGTCTTCTCTGGTTGCTTCGGCCCTCGGGCGCAACGTCGTCAACCCCCAGTTTCCCAGAGCGGCAAGACCCTTCCGAACGCCCCATCTTTGAGACCATGCGGACTACTTGAGGTGCCCCTTTTGAGAGGCCCTCAACCCTGAGCCGAAACCCGAATCCCCAAGCCTTCAACCTCTCATCAAGCCCTTAATCCTAAACCCCAATCCTTTTAAGAACTGAAGCCCATACAACCTTACCCACACCCTGAACCCTGAACCCCGCCATAACCAATTCACCGCGGACCTGGTTGTACTTGCAGGGCATCGTCATCTGAGGCCGGTCGTGTTGAGGGTCTAGGTTTCAGTTCTGGGTTCCGGCAGTTCGGGGTTTGAGGGTTTCCGTGAGGCTTTTCCTTGGGGGCTTGGGCTTAGCCTTTGAAGTTGGCTTCAGGTTTGGGTGTTTTCGGGCTCGGGCTTGGACTGATTCTGATACCGTAGTAGGGAAACCTGAATGCCAAGTGCCAGCTCTTCCGGCGTTGGGTGCTAGTCTGCAGAGTAAGGTTGAGCAAAGAACCAAAATCAAAACAACTACAAACCGCACAACACCCTAAACCCCCCCCAAAAAAACTAGATGCCTAAGACCAGAAGCCCCTTGAACCCCCAGACCAGAACCACCAGACCTCGGCCGTCACCCTGCGGCCTTGCGTGCGGCACAGCGCATTTTCACATAGAACAGGGCATCCACGTTGTCGTAGGACTCCTGCGCCCCGCTGCTTCAGGAGTTCGCGACTTCGAGGCAAGGAAGAAGGAGCGCTGTGGAGGGCTTAGGCAAGTAGAGCTGAAAATGCGTGTCAAGCGAATCATTGGGTTCCATCCCACACAACAGCCCTTTCTGAACCCTAAACCCTACAAATCCCAAACATCCCCAAACCCTACACCCTAAGCATGAATTCCTGTTCACAACTAGCCCTGAGCCAATCTCCTCCAGGAAGCGTGCAAAGGTCTCGATGCCCTCATGGTCTGCCCGGTGCAGCTCGACCTTGCAGTCAGTGCGAATAGCTCAGGAGACTCGTGAACTCACCTCTCACCACCACGCATTAAAACCCTAAACTCCCCAAACCCTCAGACATGTGTCATGGGTGCCAGCTCGTTTTCCTGCTGGACTTCGCCGCGGCCCGTGTTCCCACCGCATCCTGCCAAGGCCCCAGCGCTCTTTGCTACGCTCCAGCACACTTGGTCCACCATGCGCCGAAGTCCGTAACGATTGCGTGCCACAGTCACCACGGACCTGGCACAGTCGAGGAGGAGGACGTGACTGTGCTTGTTGTATATTCATATACTGTTGCACAGAAGTCGGCACTACGCTTTCTGCCTCAGATAGCTTGATGTCTTGCCGTTAAGGATTGGTGCTCCGGAGTTGATAACACATGCATTTCTTGGCTACCTCACACCGCACGCTCATTGCAACAGAAAGGTGAGAGGCGCACGGAGGGAAGGAGGCCAAGTCGCTCGGAAGCCTTGCACTTGCACGGTGAAGCTGAAGCTGATGTCATGCATGTGGTTTGGCAAATGCCGAAAATGATCTAAACTCTCCATAACTACGATCGAATGCCTTCATGCTGAAAGGTCAGGACTACTTGGACTGGCAGATGCGGGACGCACTCTTCGGCTGTAAGGCTCCGGCTTCTGTTGTTGCCGCACTCCCACAGCCTGCACTTTGAGATGTTGACTGTTTGCTCGAGTTCCGCACTTAGCGCACAAAGCTCAGGTGCAACAGCATCGGCATTGCGAAGCCCAGCTGAAGATCGTGACTGTTCGGCAGGTCTACAAAGGTCCTGGTTGTGATGGGCAGTGTAAACCTCCTCGATGAAGTTTAGGAGCTCTGCCTCCACGAAGCGACAAGCCAAAACTTGCTGATGGCCAGAGTCCAGAGTGCATGTCCATCTTCAACACGCATCTGGTGCAACCGGAATACATGGAGTATCAACAGACGGTATGCAATCCTTGAAACTCCTTGGACATCATGCACCCCAGTAGGTGGGGACCGGGGGTGAACTCGGATCTATGCCAGGCTCACAACAAACCCGAAAACTCTCAGAAACATCAGCAAGTCGGCTTGGCAATGCACCGCGGTGGAGGCCAAGAATGCACAAGCAGTGGCACTTGAGCCCCAAATTTTGGGCTGAGGGTTGTGAGGGAACCGTGAGCAAGAGGACCCGCTGGCAATGTTCAAGATGATGATCCCGGAGCCCCCATGCAAGCCTCAAACCCCAAACGCTAAACCCGTTATAAAGCCCAAACCGTCCTGCATCATGATCTTGGGCTGCTGGGCCGAGGGCGGCAGGAGGCTAGTGAAGGTGTCGTACCTCAAAGCTATGGCTTTGGGGCTTAAGGTCTTCAGAGAGTGCTAGAGTTTAGGGCTTCAGGCGTTGAGGGATCTGTTGGGCAAAGGCGTGGCATTGGGTGTGGAGCTTGGGGAATTTTGTCTCAGCACTTTTTTTGAGCCCTAGCCTTCCTGGGCACTCAAAATGCAGCGAAGGGGATAGGTAAATTATCAAGAGGGGAGGCCTCTTCACTGCGAGCGGCTCAGCACCTCATGTTAAACAGTTATTCAATGAGCAAGGCTTCTGGGCGATGTTGAGCCTTCAGCACAAAGTCCTGCTTTCAACTCCTCTTAGACATCTACAGGTTGACAGAAAGCCTGACGAGTTGAGAACTGCGTGTGTAGGCGAGGGTCGCAGCGCAAAAGTTTCAACGGCGGGTTCGGGCTCTCCAGTCAATTGCGGATGTCATATGACGGCCTCTTGCAATGCACCCCGACACTGAATCCAAACGGTTTGGACAAGCTTCTGCATCTAACCAGCCGGCAGACGAACTCTAAACTCGCAAAGTGTGTGGGCCGACGCGGGCGGCACAGGCAGTCTAGACTCCGCGTCTTCTCGACATGAGCCCCGCCTCCACGAAACCAAACTTTCAAACCCGTTCAAGACCTGTGAACCCTCCTTCCAATGCTCTTTTGTGTAGCAATAACCTTCTTGCCAAGCGACATGTTTGCCCAGGCTTTACGAGGGACGGCCATGGTACGCACAGCCGCACTTGCCAGTGGCCTAAAATTTGGGGTTTGGCATCGAAGCCTCGAACATAAGACATTCAGGATGAAGCAGATGCTGCAGAATCAAACCTCCGACCATGAACATGTATGCGCATGTAACCGGATCGGTTGATTGGCCTCACAGTCATAAAGTGTACAGATAACTGTCAGGTAGATGGACTCTTATAGCGATTTGAATGTTAGACTAACCATTGTATTTTCATTATCGTATATAGTAGTACATAGTATCATGATTATCGTATGATAGTAGGCTCCTCCTGTTCTTCGCTCAACACCCGTACTTCCCAAGTAATTACGTGGCACACATCCGTCTGGAGCCAAGAATTTTCGCAACCTCTAAACTCTAAGCCTACCTTCCAATCAGCCGGGCTGTGCGACGAGTACCGTGCTCCCTGCACCTGCTTAGGCGCTCGTCGACAGTGGAAAAACCCACGCCTTTCACTAAGCCATGTCTTCTAGTTTAGAAGACTATGGCCAATATGTTCGCAACTCCTCTGAATCTCCAAACACCGTACAGGGTGGATGGTTGCAAATCATTCGGAACCTTTTGAACCGCACAACCTTACATGCGCCTGCGCGCGGCCCAAGCCATTAAATAACGTTTTAGGGTTTATAGGGCTCATGGGGGGCTGAGGGAGATATCTGGCAGTGTTGGCAAGCATGAGGCTGCATGTCTCCACATAAGCTTACTTGTCCGGCCTCCGAAACTGTCCAAAAGGCTAACGATATCATGTTCTCAGCACTGTGAAGCAAGTGCAGGTCTGTCCTACACATGCCACGAACTTGCCTGAATGTGCTTATGATTGCTGGGAGGTATTGCGAATGGGACTGAGGACTCGTAGCCCTCTTGTATGCGCAAATCCAGTGCACCTCCCTGTTGTCGGGTTCTCCAGGTGCTGGACGGCTATTAGTCATCTCTACGTCGGGTCCGAGCTCCAGCGAACGGAACTTGCCACGAGCAGGCATCGCTGGTGCAGCCATTCCTATCCCCGAATTTCGGCTTTTCAGACTATTCTTGGGACCACGTGTCCTTCTGAATTGCTACACGCAATTTTGCATGCCGACTCCATCTTCCGACTCTGGACTTCCGTTCGCCTGAGGACAACTATCTACTGTTGCTGTGCAGTGCGGAAGCTGTCAGTAATCTCGACTCCCACAGAGGTCTCTTCGTTCGCATCCTCGCCCTCGCTGCGACACAAGCTCTTTGCACGGATGGCGCTGCAAAACATCGCACAAGGAGCAGCCAGGATGCAGATAGTCATAAGAGCAATATGCACCAGACGGCATGCTGCGTTGAGCTCAGCCATTGGGCGCCATGCCATGTGCGCTGCGGACAAGGAGGCTGCCAAGCAAGTTAGCACACCAAGAACACGCAGGCCGGAGGTGGACCAGATCAGCGAGAAGCTTTCACAGTCGCCCTTCCACGTGGCGATGATCCACCTGGCCTCTGAAGACAGAGTGAGATCACAGCTGAAATATAGTGCTCTGATTCAATCGTGTCTTGGAAAAAAAAAGCTTTGCCTGGCTGGTATGTTCAGTCTATTTCTTGGTCGATTCTCAGGGTCCTCGTTGGCAACCAGGGTCAGCGGAATCAAGGGGACCACAAGAAACATGGCCTCGGTGTGGCCCCCGGAAGCTTCTGGGCGCGTCGAAAGACAAGACCAACATTGTTCGGACGGGATGGTGAACTTGATTCTTGCCCAATCAAGAAATGGTACGGGTGAGCAAACGAACCCCAGCTAGTCTCGTTGCCAACCATCTTCATCCCAACTGGTTGGGTCTCGGACAAAGCTGAACTCATCTCCTGCAAGCTGCAGATCGTCTCTGCTCGATGATTCTCATCAAAAAACCCTCAGAAACAACCTCAAAACCTTCCTGAATCCACCCCCGCCCTCCAACATAAACATACATGCACAACACAAAGTAAAGGCGATGAGAACTGCAATGCACTCTGGGCCGCCGTCGTCAAGTCGAGCAGGTAGCCTGAGATGGTTGCAGAACATGTGCCAGACGGTGCCTCGCATGCGTAATAAGTAAGACGTACAGTAAGGCCAGTTGTCTAGGGTATTAGGGCTTGCAGGGTTTGCAGTTAAGCGTATTTATGAAGGAAAATACGACGGGCGTCCAGATCAGACGTTGTTTCCCGTCGGCACGACACCTACCCACCTCACGTAAATCCAACAAGTAGAGCCTTCTGCTGCACCCTAAAACCTAAACCCTAAACCCAATCTTTCATATCCCTAAAAACGTCCCATCTGACAGTGACTCAGTAGTTGGGGGGACCAAGATGAAGCCAGGCAGCACTTTGTCGGCGCGAAAGCTACCAGCAACGCAAAAGAGAAACTCGCCAGGTTCCTACAGCACACGGCAAAACATCATATGTATGCATATATATATACATATGTTATTTATTTGTTCATTTATTCTTGTGTTTGTGTTATTCTGCTGTACATGCGACAAATCTGCATTTACATGTTCGCTTTCCTAATGGTTTCCTTTCTGCAAATTTCTTTTGATGCATGCTGTGGTACATGTGAACTCCTTGATTTTCATGCTTGTTCATTTCATGTTTTTCCATTTTGACGTTTTCCTTTCAGTTCGCAGGGGGCGCGAGGTCCTTTGACAAAGCTCGCGCCAACGAAGCTCTTTGTCATATGGACAGGTAAACGTACCTGCGACCAGTTCCTGGGTGCAAGAGCACAGCTGGATTGGTCACAGGCGAAACCATCATGATGATTTTCTCAGTTGTCCGAAACTTTTCACTTTACTTTCTGGAAACTTGGACATGTCTCTTGAAGCTTTGTACGGTTGCTGCAATCTGGGGAAATAGGTACATGAGAGTTTGTGTATTGAGAAGTCATATACATATTGACCTCTACATCAAGAAGGTGGGACTGCAGAAAGCCTCCTCAATTGTGTTCGGCAAGAGCTCCCTCACGAGGGCCTTGTCGTTATTCGGCGAAGTTGCCGGCCCACCGGGGTGCTTGTGTTAGCAGCTCTGGAGATCATTTCCGTCTCACAACATGTTCAAGTGGAGATCACTGAGTGGAAATCACACTTCCGGAAAGCAGAGTGGAGTGGCGTCCGGAGATCACTGACGACTGCATATGTTTTCATGTTTAGGCATTTTCTGGCTTGAGACTCGCATTCAAGTGTTGCTCCTGCACCTTGCCATGGATCGTGAGCGCTCCCCACGTCGTAACCCGTACTGGAGCTCCTCCCTGCCTGCTTCGGTCCCACCTGCCCCTGCGAGTTGGCAGAACCCTACACCCCGTCCGGCCCCACCAGTGAATCGCCCGGCCGTGCTTCAGCCACAAAACCTCACGTGGCAGCCTAACCCACGTGTTGCTCAGATTATGAACATTTCGCCGACCCCTCGCATCCCCGGACTTCCTTCCCCACCTGCTGCAAACTCACCTAGAGTTTTTGGCCCGATGCTACCCGCCGAGTTCTGCCAGAATCCGAACTATTTGGATTCCCGCTGTATTGCAGGCTTGAACTTGGCTCGTTGGGTCAAGAAGACTGATTGGACAGTTCGAAAGCAGATTGACGGATGCCCAACACACATGATACCGCTCCACTCGTTGCTCTATCAAGGTTGGAATTCGTATTGGGTACGCCATATTGCAGAAGGCAAGCCGACTGTCTTTGCAGGTTTCAAGTCGATCGGTGAAGTTGTATTTTGTCATGCATTGTTCGGAAAGTTGCGAGATGAAGAAGTCGACTTGGATGAGCTTGCTTCTATTGTGCTTGGTACCAGTGATCCCGCCTCCAAGAGCAGTGGCTCGGATTCCAAGTCGCAGGCCACACATTTATTGGCGCAGAAGGTTGTTGACTACATGCTAGGTCTGTATCCTCAGGCCTCGGTCGACACGGAGAAGGCAGCCATGGCGAATCAGATTCAGATTCTTCAACAACAACTTGCAAACTTCGAGAATGCCTCCCCTTCCCGCTCTTCCAACCAAGATGTTGCAGATCAGAAAGCTTTGCCGATCGAAGAAAGCCCCCCGGGACGTGTGCCAGAGTCAGCACCCTCCGCTCAAAAAGTTCCTGATGGTGCAACCCGTCTTCTTCGCGGTCAGACCGTTGAGCCCAAAAGTAATCTTATGCAGGCCTTCCAGAAAGGCAAACCATCGGGGAGCCAGGCAGAACCGTTGAGCATTGAGAACGATGAAGTCGAGACCCAGGGTCGCAGTCCAGGAAATTCGAGCTCCGCTCCTCAGCCTGAGTATGGTACATCCTCGCACGTTGGACAAGTTGTGAAGATAGTTCTCACGGATCCATCCAAACGTCACTTCTTGACTCGCAGTTGGAAAGCTTGCAAGTCGGACAAGGAAGTGTCGACATGGATTGAGGGATTGAACTTGAGCAAAAACAATCGCCAGAAGCTTCAGACATGGACGGCTCATGTACAACGATGGCATGCGGACCTCCCTTCCAATGAGCAGGCCGAATTGGATCAGGTTGTTGCCAACTGGGGTGTGCCTATCCGTGATATTCCCAAGCTTAAGGCAAATTCTTTGCTGCGTATCCTAGCTGCAGGAACAATTCTCGTGGCTTGACTACAGGCCATATTGGATGCCAGAGAACTATATCGCAGTGGAAATCCACCACAAGGATGGTGGAAACAGCACCGAAGTGAAGTGGATTTGCTTCGGAATGCTCATCTATTTTTCCAGGGTATCTACGAGACACCCACCATGTTTGGACGACAATGGATGGACATTGTTATTTGGATTCGTGGAAAACTCCTTTTGCTTGCTTGTGAGTTCGGGCTTGTACAGTCGCCATTGACCTCTCAGCTTCGTTTAAAATGCTCCAGCTACACCTGGAAATTCTTTCAGACGCAGTCGGTGATCTATTGCCGCATTTTTCTCCAGCCTGAGTTACAGAAATTCATGTATGTCGGACCATCATCCCAAACATTGGGCGAACGTGCGCGTACTAGATGGGGGAAGTACCAACAGATCCGAGCGGGCAAGTCTGTATGTGGTGAACTCTCGTTGTTCTGGCATTATCGACGGCGGAATTATCACATGGCCATTCCTTTGTTGATCATGCATGTCCGACAGGCTGACTGTCTGCATACAATTGAGCAGACGTTCATCAACTTGCTGCAGCCACGCCTTAATGCTCCTTGGGTTCGTTCTCTTGTGAGAGCAAAACATGCACAGATTGCCAACTCCGACCCTGTCAGATGTGTTCGCAGATTTGTGACTTCGTGGAGAACTTTCCGACGTTTTCGACGTCGGAACGTCCAGCTTACTGGACTGACTCCATCAGTCTTTCGCTCAACACACATTGTTCAGAACATCGTACACAGCTATCAGATTCTGTTCGACTTAGCTTCTGACGGGTTGAAGTCCTTTCTTGCCCAAAAGTATTTGCGCAGCAACAGAGTTGACTCGGATTTTCTTTACAGACTATTTCGGATGGCCACTCATCTGGTGACCCTTTCTATGAGACGATTTGCAGGTCCAGATTGAACACGGTGCTGCAATTTCGACAGTTGAGGTGTCCGACCACATGTCGCCCCTTGTCCACTCCGTTCTTGTTACCGGAGGCAGGCTTCAAACGCTTGGTTCGTGGCATGTTGGGCGATATTCTGGATGTCTCGTCGGATCGACTGCTGCCGTACCATATTCCAGCGACCTCGCTTGTTGCAAAAAGCCACCCCAAAATCAGAGAGGTTTTGTTCTCGCACAAACGAATCTTGCAGTTGTGGGACCCGCATGAGGAACCACAGCAGGCCGGTGTAACATGTTGTTGCTCTGAGCTTCTTCGACATCATCCACACTTGACTGTGGTTCAGGGTCACATTGCATCTTCTGCCACTTTGTTGTCCTTGCCGCATGAACTGACTCAGTTGGCCCAGTCAAGTTGCTCAAATCCGGTATTCATGACCGCCACGGATCATTGGAAGATGTTTCTTGACGACGTGAGACAGTGGATCGATCATCACGGCTTGGTGCATTATCCGACCATTGATATTCGATGTGTGTGGCAGAAGGCATGGAAGCTATATTTACAGCATGTTGGAACACATTGGTCGGTTGATCAGGTTCGTGAGTTGAGAAAACGGACCAAAGGATTGGTGTGGCATGTCCGGGACCATGAAGGCTCTCATGCACATGTCTTTTGTCCTGTGAAGTATTGGATGATGCTTCAGAACACTTTTACTGCTGAATCTGTCTTCAAGCCACTGTCGCTAAACTCCTCAACGATCATGGCTCAGATGGAACATGCAGTGCCACCTCGGATTCTTGAAGCATTCCCCTTCCGCTTTGGATCTCGCGGTGCCCGTGTGTCATGGGCTTATATTCTCCCCAAGTTCAAGAAAGAATGGAAAGGGGGAAGGCCAATCGTTAGTTTTGCCTCTCACCCGGCTCGCCAGTTCTTGGTTGTGATGGCGAAAGTCACAGAGATGCTTGTTGCTGAGGTGTGTCCTCACACCCGATCTTACAACGATGCAATCTTGCTTTGGCAGAACATACATGCCTTCTTTGAGAAGCGATGTCACAGCCCTGAGGAGGACAGACAGAAAATTGCCATGCACAATCAAGACTTGTCAGGTTTCTTCGTGAGCATTCCGAGGGAGCGGTTCATGATCACCTTTCGCATATTACTTTGTCGTTTTTACGACGTCTCGGATGCTGATCTTGATCATTCCTTGAAAGGAGTTGTGGTGACTGTGGACTTGGAAAACAACTTGTCTGTTATGAAAACTATTCGCGGTCGACATTGTCTGTTGCATGACAAACGAGTTGCCGTCCCGATGGACCTATTCCTGGTGGCCGTACAGGTGTCGTTCAAGCTCAATCTATTTATGGTAGGTCAGCAGGCCATTCAACAAATCAGGGGTGCACCGATGGGAAGCCATTTCTCTCCGGCAGCCTGCCATGCCGTGGTGAGCTTATATGAGCACATGTACTTCGGCAAATGTTTGTTGGAGCCCTCTCGCTTGCCAACTTTCGGCCTTGTGGTCAGATATGTGGACAATCGAATGAGTTTGATTCTTGATCGTCAGGCCAGTTATGCTGCGGTACAGGCTTTCCTGCATCAAGATGTGTACATACCGCCTATTGTACTTGAGTATGAGGATGGGGACCTCTTCTTGGGTTTTCACGTGGATACACAACAGCTACGTGTGCAGTATGTTCAACCTACGGAGACTTGGAAGTTCTTGCACTCCAATTCGGCTGCCAACACACGGACGCTGTTAAGCAGTTTCCGATCCAGAGCCCACTTGATTGCACATGCATCCTGGCCGCTGGAGCAACGTGAAGTCGATCTTGATCAGCTTTTGCAGTCCTATGTGAGACAGGGATTCGATCCGTCAATGATGTACCCCATTC